AGGTGTTATCTCTTATGTTTCATGAGGAACCCTGGTGGCATAGTGTTAGCCTTGGGCTGCAATTTGCAAGGTCAGCAGTTCGAAACCCACAGCCACTCTGAGGGAGAAAAATGAGGGTTTACCTCTCCTGTCGAGAGTTAGTCTTAGAAATTCGCCAGACAGGTCTTCCCTGCCCTGTGGGGTTGCTATGAGCTGGCATCGACTTGATGGCAGTGAGCTTGTTTCAGTTTTCAGGTCTTTCGATATGGACTGTCTCCAGCACTCTAGTGTTTTTCTTGCTTTGTGGCAAAGACAAAGATTTTTTTGCAAACTGTTGCCACAGAAATAGCTGTGATCTTTCTCCAGGTATTAGAGACTAATCTAGCCTGTTTACTATTTATTCAATTTTGCATCCTCTTCAATGTTCTCACCTCCAAACCTATGATTTTCCTTATATTAACAGTTTGTTTTATCTCACCATCATGCCACTGATACTGTTCTTGGGTTCATATAGAGAGGGTTGTTACATCCTCTTGACAAGTTTAATGATCCTCAAGCTCTTGGAGTTGTAACTTCATTAGCATTGTTGAATTAGAGCAGGATCATTAATTCCACAAATTATTATTTTTAATGTTATATGGTTGCTCTGCGCCAGATAAATTACCCTCCTGGGAACTTACAGTCTGGGGAGGTAAGTAGATAATAAATACATAACCACACAACCAAATATATAAACAAAAGTTATGAAGAAAAAGTGGAACATACCATAGAAATGTAATAGAAGGTTTGATTTAGATTGCCGGGTAAGAGCAGTAGAATTTTAGCTGAAATTTGGACAATGAGGAAAGAAAGCCTGAGGGATTATGCCTGGCAGAGGATGTATTGCCATAAAAACTTTGTCTGACAAAGAGTGGAGAACAGAGAGGAATTGAGGAGTGACTGGAGCATTATGTGCTATTGGGAGTCTCACCATGCCATGAGTGAGACCGAATGTATCCTGAACGAGAGAGGGAGCCATGTTTAGGCAGAGGCAAGGCATCAGACTTGTATTTGTGCCTGCTTTTATGATCTAATTTTGAAGAGGACTAGAATTGTATTTGTGCCTGCTTTTATGATCTAATTTTGAAGAGGACTAGAACTAGATGGAAGTGGTAGTGTGGTGGTTAGTACCAGCAGGGTAGTGGTTTGTATCTGGCGCCGTGGGACCCTTGTGGGAGCAGTTCTACTCTTTCTTATATTGGGTCAGTATGAATTAGAACTGCTCAGTGTGACTGGTTTTGAGTTTTAAGGGTTCAAAATGGAATCCTTGGATTGCAGAGTTAAGCATTTGACGACTAGCCTAAAGGTTGGAGGTTCAAAGCCACCCAGATTGTCTCAGAAGATAGGATTGGACATTTGTTCCTGCCATCTATAAATAAATTTTATGTTAATGAGTAATTTCAATAGCTGGTTGGTTCTCAAAAATGTCAGAATGATGGATTTTAGAATTCCTAGAAAGATTAAGATGGCACTGACATACATAGAGAAAAAAATAAAACGGGGGAAAATCCCAGGCAGATTGAGAATAAACAAAATACTAGTATGATAGCATGTAATATTTGATTCCCCATGAAGGTGATAGGTAGATTGAGAATTCCCTCCAAAACCAAATTTGACAGAAAAGCAACATAAAGCAAAATCAGCAACAGGGTTTTTGTTTTAAATCTTAAATACAGAGAGATATGAGGATGAAAGGGAATATGACAAAATGTCGAGACTGTCAAACCACCAGGATAGCGGAGGAAGCTAAGAAGCAATGGGGTATATATTGTCAGTCTCCAAAAGGTTCACGGAGCTTTGGGATTAGGTAACCGTAGCAGTACAGGGGAAGAAGGGAAGGGGATTGAAATATGAGGGTCAGTTGAAAGGTAATTCACTTCTTCATCCTTTGCCACCGCACTACTAATGTACTTTTCCCACCCTGAGAGAGAGAAAATGGGAGATCTGTTTTCTAGGTCTCTGGATTAGAGTGCACCAGTGTGACCAATTATCTTCCATCAAGTGGATTTCCACCCATAGTGACTGGGCTGTAAATTATTGCATAAGCAGACAGCCTCATCTTTTTCCTGATGAGCAGCTGGTGGGTTTGAATCTCTGACCACATATGCTCCCTATTTGAAAGTAGAGAAGGATTATGTGAACATTGGCATTAGAATGCTGTGAGAAACCCCCCCTCCCTACTTTTTCTCCATTGTTAGCCTAAAAGATAGGCATAGTACAGGTGGAAAATAGGCAGATTTAAAAAAAAACATTTTATTGGGGGCTTATACAACTCTTATCACAATCCATACATACATCCATGTGTCACGCACATTTCTACATTTGTTGCTATCATCATTCTCAAAACACTTTCTACTTGAGCCCTTGGTATCAGCTCCTTATTTTTCCCCTCCCTCCCAGCTTCCCCCTCCCTCATGAACCCTTGATAATTTATAAATTATTATTATTTTGTCATATCTTACACTGTCTGGCGTCTCACTTCACCCACTTTTCTGTTGTTCATCCCCCAGGGAGGAGGTTATATGTAGATCCTTGTATTTGGTTCCCCCTTTCCACTCTACCCACCCGGTATCGCCACTCTCAGCACTGGTCCTGAAGGGATCATCTGTCCTGGATATCCTGTGTTTCCAGTTCCTATCTGTACCAGGGTACATCCTCTGGTCTAGCCAGATTTGTAAGGTAAAATCAGGATCATGATAGTGGTAGTGGTGGTGGTGGTGGTGGTGGTGGTGGTGGTGGTGGTGGTGGTGGCGGCGGTGGTGGGGCACTAGAGGGAAGCTGTATGTTTCATCATTGCTACACTGCACCCTGACTGGCTCGTCTCCTCCCCACAAATTTTTTTAAGGCTTCTAAACTATAGGTCCTTATTTTTAAAAAGTTTTCTTGGTATATAATTCACATATCATACAATTCAATAGTTCAAACACATCAGGATGTGTTGTACAATCATCACCACAGTTTTAGAACATTTTTTTCTTCACTCTTGTACTCAACACTTTTAGCTCCCCATTTCCCCCAATCTCCCTTGTCACCCCCCAGAGGAACCATTAATCCAGTCTGTAGATTTATTTACCCATCCTACATTTCATATTTCATATACAGAAAAACATTAAAAACAAAAACTAGCAATAACAAAGTAAAGCAGGTAAAAAACTTCAGTTGAAAAGAAAGCAGACAATATTAAAAACTATAAGAACTTTAAAATGGATCATAAGGGAGGTCTAGTGATAAGGTGCTAAATTTTAACTGCATCTGCAGTCATCTGCTTTCCTATGCATTCTGCATGTTAGCAAGGCTGTTGACATCCCTGGTCCATGGTCTGAGGCGATTCACCAGAGGATTAATACATATGTATTTCTTCCTTCCCTTTTTTTGGTTTGTTTTAACTGAAATTTTTAAAATGGGTCAAAAGGGAACTACAGTGATATTACATTTTAGCCTAACTATGCCTGCCATAATTGACCTTACATTGTTCTCTGATTACAAGGCTACTCATATCCCTCAAATGTGATCAGAGGGGATTCACTGGAGGTACACCCCGTAAATGAATTTGGGTGCCCCTTCCATTGTCTCCATCACCTTCTGCAAACCAGGTATTCACAGTTTAAGCTCTGAGACCATTCCCTCCTTTGAATCTGGATTATATTATTTATAGTCCTTGGATCACACCTGCTGGTGTGCTTCTTCCACATGGACTTAGTTGACACCTCACTTAAATGGCTACTTGTTTGAAGATAAGTTTTTAAGATTCCAGACACTATTCCTTTTGATAGCTGAACACCATCTAGTTTCTTTACCACACTCTCATATAGCACCCATAGCATCAGTGACCTCTTCATGAGGGTGAGCATCAAGCAGAGCCATAAGGACTAAATGTTCTTAGATTGGGGCTAGAATTAAGTTAGATTCTTCAATGCGGAATTTTACCAACACAAGAAGCAAAATCGAGTACAGAACTGTACATAGATGGTGTATTCTATGTGCTAGGCTGGTTTCTTATGGGGGAAGAGGGCAGGTTAAGAATTTTGAAACTGCATGTTGAACCAGTAAATAAGTGGTAAGTACCAAGAGCTAGGTTTCTCCCTTCAACCTTTATGCCAAAACAAAGTCAAAGCGCATTTACCTTAGTAAAATTTTTAATTCGCTTTTATACCCAGATAACTCAATACTATCGGGTACTTGAGGAAAGCATGTAAAATAAACAATAGAAACCAAAGTAAGCAAAAATTAAAAAAACAAAACAAAAATGGAGAAAACAGAATATGCAGCAGAGAAACTTTTTAAAGTGTGTGTGTGTGTGTGTGTGTGTGTGTGCTCGCCCACGCGCATATGCGCATTATTTAACTGTCCTTGAGTCAGTTCTCGTCATGGCGACCCTCTGCAGCACAGAACTGTACTCTGTAGGTTTTCAAAGCTGAGACCCCCCACCCCACCCTTGGAAAGGTATCCAGGCCTTACTTCCAAGGTGCTTTGGGGTGGGCTCGAACCACCAACCTTTTATTTAATAGTCTGTATTCATGAGATGAATTTTCATTTCTGGTAGTGTCTTTGTCTGGTCTTGGTATTAGGGTTCTACTTGCCTAATAAAGCCAATTCGGAAGTCTCCCTCTTCCTCTCTTTTCCTAAAAGTGTGTAAAATGGCAATTGTTACTTCCTTAAATATTTAATAGAATTCACTATTGAAAACATTTTAACCTAGAGGTTGTTGTTGTATTTTTTTAATTACAAGGTAATTTCTTTAATTGTTGTGTGCCACAGAGTTGGTCCCAGTTCACAGCAACCCTGTCGGATGTAGTAGCATTTCCCCAAAGGGGTTTCTAAGCTGTAATCTTTGTAGAAGCAAAGATTTCCTGCCCCCCCGCCCCCCATTTAGCCATATAAAGTGCATTTTCATAGATTTCTAAAAAACTTTTGTTATTTCTTAGAAAATAAAATGTCAATGTAACCTCCCTCTTCTCATTCTCCTTGTCTTTTTGTTTTAGTTGTTTGCGTAATTGGCCTTAAATGAGGTGAGAGTGAAAATACATCTGTGGAAAACATCGTTAGCCTATACTCTGGAGGCTTCTCTCGGAGCCCTAGCTTTGACTGTGTCTGTTTTCAGGACTCATTATGATCAAAGAAGCCTCCCAGGTAAGATTTAGGTTCCTGTGTAAAAAGGGTTTTGCCCCTATGAAAATATGGAGGGAAAATGCTTGTTGACAGTTGCTGTTTTATGGTAGTATATATTTGGTCTGAGAAGCTTGAAGGATCTTAGACAACAAATATGATTTTTCCTAAGTAGAAACTGTAAGAAAAGTTCTAGGCTACCCTCAAGGAAGCGTTTTATTGCACATTGACACCATTAGAAGTACTATAGGTTTCAGACCTTATAAATCCTTACCGAATTGAAGAGAGGCAGAAATCTGAAGCCATCCCCACATCAATCCATGCATTCCTAATGTAATCCAGCCTTCAATCGAGTGCCCACTTCCTGTTTTTGAACGTTTATATTTTGTTGCTATTTCTCAAAACTCAAGTTGTAAGCTAAGTAGGAGCTTTGCCAGCATAGTGGTTACATGTTGGGCTGCTAACTGCAAGGTCAGCAGTCTGAAACCAATTACTAATTTTTCAATGGAATAATAACATGCTTCCACAACATTTACAAATGATAAGTATATAACTCTTGAGTTACTATATACTGAGCATATTCAGGTAAACATTTACTAGGTTAAGAAGTCGGACAATGCTAGTGACCCAGACAAGTGCTCGTCTCTTATCACCAGCTGCATATGAACCTTCTTTCCAAGGAGGAGAAGAATGTCACCATGGAGAACGTTGTCTCCACTTGCACAGTGCAGAGTCTTAACCATGATAGACTGTGAAGGATAAGCAATGCCGGTATTTGGAATAAACAATGAAGTTGGGTGTTAGAGCCAAAACTCTTCAGTTGTCAGAGAACAGAAAAGAAAGAACTGGCGATAGAAAATGATTTGAGAAGATATTAACTCCATTTTCCCAAGAATTTTTTGCAGCTTCCTCTTATTCACTATCTTTAAAATCTTGTTTCCAAAACAGAAACAGCTCCTGGTTTGTGGCTTTTCTTAATTTGCTCCCCATTTTCCTTCTTTATTTTTAAAACTTATTGTGCCTGAGTGAAGGTTTACTGAGCAAATATGTTTTCCATTCCACCCTTCAGACACATTGTGTTTCACGTCATTCTCAGAAATACCTAAATGCAAATCACTGATCCCACTTCCTCCCTGTGTTTCCTGTTTCTGTTCATCTTTCTTTTCTGACCCGAATCATCTTTGTCCTGAGGCAAATGGTGCCCCTACGGTCTTAAATGGGCTTCCGAAATATTGGAAGAAAGCTGAACAATTCCTGATCAACTTAATCGTTTTAAGTAACATTCTGTACTTAATCTCTAGGTTGGAATAGCCATTGCAATGACTGCACCACACTCACAGATATTATTTAGGATTAAAGGGTTTATTAAGGAGGTCGACAGGTTGTAATGCAAGTGAGAAATGCTCAGAATAAAGTTTATGAGGACACATTACAAAGTTCTTTCAGGTCTGCTAATAAATGCCCCAAAGGGCATTCAGATGTAAGCCTCAACCCAGAGGCATTCAGCTCAGCCTCCCATCAGTCAGAAACCCAGCTTCCCTCATTAAGTGCTCAGAGGCACTCCACCCAACAAAGACGCCAGCCTCCTGTTTTACTGGTTCCATGGCCTGGGAAGTCTACTACTCTGTTTCATGTCCTACCTCTTGGTTCTCTGATCTCATAGCTATCTTCCAGATATAGGAGATTGACTGTGCAGGGTCTTGGGTCCATAGGACACAGTCCACTCTTAGCTCTTGATGATAATGAAATACCTCCCCATCCTTCTCAGAGGGCTCGCTCTATTTATCTATTTGTTTATTTATTTTTGTTTTAATGCAGAATTTATTTTGTCACCAACCATTTTTACAGTGTTGTGTTTTTTTTTTACAGTTTTTTGGACACATAGTCCATATAGCAATTCATTTGTTCAATCATATCAAGAATTATATAATCATTACCGCAATCAATTAAAAAAACCCATGATAATTGCCTTTAAAATGAGCTGTATAATCGCGTTCAATTCTAGTGCTCCCGCCCCTACCTGCCTTCATAGTTCACTCTCGAAATCCCCTTCCCCTCTCCATTCCCCCACCCCACATTCCTATAAACAGCTTGCATCTGTTATTATCTCTGCATCCATTCCTTCTGTGCTTCACAAACTGGTAAACCCAAAAGAGACAAAAATGAAATAAAACAATAGTAATATGAAGATATAAATAGTGAGTGAGAAAGAAAAGACCACCATCAATATTTTAAAAGCCTGGGAAGAAATTTTGGTAAGGGAACAAGCAAAAGATACTTGCATCTAGAACAAGTTCAGGTTGGGTCTAGGGGGAGGTCAGCTGACCAAGTATCAAGTTTGCTCCAACCACATCAAGATTGCAATGATCTCTGTTTGATAGGAAGGCTGTTTCAGACCTTTACCTGCAGCTAGAGGGGGTCTGTCAGTGGCTTAATCTGACTAGATACTCTGTAGATGGATTTTAGGCTCCCACTGTCCTCTATAGCCTTCCACAAATTGGGTGCTCAGGATTTTGTCTTTGATACTTTTCCCTTTGTCATATTTGAATTTTGTTATTGTCATCTTTGAATCATACAAGTTGGTGTGCTTCTTCCATGTGGACTTAGTTGACTCTTCGCTTACATGACCACTGCCTTGAATACAAGCCTTTTAAGACCCTAGACACTATTCCTATTGATAGCTGGGCACTATCTGCTTTCACTACACTTTGTTGTAGCACCGTTTTCTTCAGTGATCATTTCACGCAGATGAGTGTTGAATACTGCCATATTACCATAGCTAACTGTTCTTGGATTGGGATTAGAGTTAAGTGGAGCCCGGAAACTCTCTGCTCGTGCTTGTCCCTGGAATAGGCATGACTGAGGTTTACTTTCTTCGTTGTCTTATAGCAAAATAAACCCCCCCATAGGACCAACTACATTAGCACCAGAAACAAACCAACCAGCAAACAAACTATAACAAGAAAACAACATACTAAAGTCAGGAAAACAAAAAAACATAAACAAAATGTACAACATTGTCGGTCATCCCCCTAGGAAATAAGGTGATTGCACTGATGACATCATCAATTTTCCCAATGACACAGCACATCAGACACTGTCAGTAAGGGCTTATTTTATACACAGCCAGCTGTCATTCCAAGGAATCCTGTTTACAATTATTCAGAGGTAAATCCTGCCACTGTCTTCCTCCTCCTTACCAGACCCATGTGGGGAAAGGTCTTTTGGTCTGAGTTAGCGATGTTGGCTAGAAGAGACACATTAAATAATTCACTGCTCCTGCAATGAGTTACTTAATTTAGGTATTTGAATCATTTTATGTAGCAAACACATAGTTACTGTATATACTCGTGTATAAGTTGAGTTTTTCAGCACTTTTTTAATGCAGTTTTTGTGGTAAAATCAGGTGCCTCGGCTGATAGTCGGGTCGGCTTATACTCGAGTATATATGGTATCTAGTTTTGGATAATCATCTGTGGGATTATCTGATTTTACTGCTCATCTTGTTCTCTGCCCAACTTCTAACCTTTTCTATTCATTGGTTTCTGAATCTAAGATAAGAGGATGGAGTAGATGGAAAGAGGCATATAGTGAAATTCTTTTCACTCAATTTTACTGTGGCTCTTAGGAAAAGATCTAATGGGGAAGGCTAGAGTTATCTGAGTTGTGTTCTATTTATTTGATTAACTAAAAGTTTCCCTGTAGTGGAGAGATTTAAACTTATGGGCAGAGTGAATTATTGTGCTTCACTTCTCAACATGGGGGAAACTCATCACAAAGTTGGATATATAGCCCACCCCCCAGGGAGACGAATAACAGAATTGTGGGTAAAGGGAGACAGTGGACAATGTAAGACACGGAAGAACAATAATAACATATAATTGATCAAGGTTTCACAAGAATATGAGGGGGGAAAAGAGGAGCTGATACCAAGGACTCAAGTAGAAAGAAAATTGTGGAAATGTTGGTGGCAACATATGTACAAGTGTGTTTAATACAATTGCATGATGGATTGTCAGACGATTTATAAGAGCCCCCCCCCCAATAAAATGATTTTTTAAAAAGTTAAGAGATTTAATATACTCAATTTACAAGTATTTGAGTTTAACTGATTTGAAAGAATGGCATTTAAAAGTATGCATGCTCCCCGCTCTCACTACCATGACTCGAATTCGATCTTGCAAGTCTGGGTAGACCAGAGGAGGTACACTGGTACAGATAGGAACTGAAAATACAGGGAATCCAGGACGGATGAGCCCTATAGGACCAGTGGTGTGAGTGGCAAAACAGGGAGGGTAAAGGGAGAATGGGTAGGAAAGAGGGAACCGATTACATGGAACTGTGTGTGACCTCCTCCCTGGGGGACAGACAACCAAAAAGTGGGTGAAGGGAGATGTCGGACAGGGCAAGATATGACAAAATACCCATTTATAAATTATCAAGGGCTCATGTGGGAGGGGGGAGCGGGGAGGGAGGGGAAAAATGAGGACCTAATATCGGGGGTTTAAATGGAGAGAAAATGTTTTGAGAAACGATGTACAGATGCGCTTTACATAATTGATGTGTGTATGGATTGAGATAACAGTTGTATGAGCCCCTAATAAAATGTTAAAAAAAAAAAAGTATGCATGCATGCTTTTTAAAATACATGTCTATAGTAGTAATGACCTTAAGGTGCCCGGGTGGCGCTGTTGGTACATGTTGGGCTGCTAACCAAAATGGCAGTGAGTGAAACCCACCGGCTGCTCTGAGGAAGAAAGAAGAGGCTCCCTGTTCCTGTCAGGGTTTACTAAGCTTGGAAAACTGTGTAGGGTGGCCGAGAGTCCACATCAACCTAACAGCAGTGAGTGTGATTCTCATGATGTGACTGCGGGATGGCCAACACCTTGCCCTGACTCCTACTGTAGGTGCTGGTTGACCGATGTGTTAGACAGCATGGGATCCACCGGGGTGAGCTGGCTGAGGACGTTTGGTCGACAGCGTGTTTAGACTGAGCTGGGCTTCCGTGCTGAGTGGGCTATAGA